ACGGACATTCCGCGACTACATGAACACGGTCTTCGCATTCGAAGCCGCAATCACATTTGAACTCGTCGTCTTCCTCGTCTACCGTCCTATGACTTAGTCGACGTTCTCGAAGACCTTTGTCCCCGGTCCTGAATTTGACCTTAAGCTTTGTTCCTGCACCCATTGGTCCATGTAGGTAGTCCTTGAACCCTATTCCTTCCTTCAACATGCCGTGCACTTCTAGACCCTCCTTATCATTGGATACTTTCCTCAGATTTCTTTTCTCCTCTCTCGGCACAAGCAACAGATATCTTCTCCTTGAACCCCTGTAGACCCTCCGTTTCCAGCGTTTCATCTTCGTCGATGTCGAGCCCCTTCCATACGTCCTCTACAACCTTGACCCATTCCGTGGGTTGTCTACCCCTCTTTTTGTTTGCCCACTTCGCCTCCCATACAATCCTCGGCAACCTCTCCTCTCCCATCCCGCACATGCGATACTGCCAGGTCAGCTTCCTCGCGTCTCTTCCCGACCGTAGGGATTGGATCCCCAATTCTGCCCTCACGGCTGCATTACTTGTGCGCGTGGAGCATCCTAGGATGATTTTCGCTGCTTTCATCTGCGCCGCCTCGAGTTCTTTCACTACCTTCTTATTTCCTTCCCATGCTTCTCTGGTGTACTCTAGCGGCGGTACAATTACGCTCTTCAAAACCGTCAAATTGATGCGTGTATCGAGGTGCCGGTTTGCGAGTATTGGGTGCAGCTTCCCTGCTCGTGCTTTGCCCTTTTCCGCTACCTTGGACATGTGTGCATTCCACGAGCAGTCTTTTGCGATCTCTACTCCGAGGTATGTGTACTGGTCCACTACTGCAATCTCCTCGATCCCCCACTTCCATCTATGTTCTACTGGTTCCTCCTTGTTCTCGTTGCAAACCATGACGGCACTCTTCTGAACGTTGGCAGACAATCTCCACTTATCAGTAAACTTCTTCGCCGCGTCAATTTGCAGTTGCAGTCCCTCAGGGGTGTCCGACATACCGACAAAATCATCCGCAAACAGCATTCCTGAAACCGACGTTTCCGTGTCCCCTACTTTTACTCCCTTCCGGACTGCCTCTACGACTTCCAACAGATCGTTGATGAACACCTGGAACAATGTTGGGGACAGCGTGTAACCTTGTGGGACCCCCTGCTCAATGTCGAAGAATTTAGACAGTACTCCATCTAGCATGACCGCGCTTTTCGTCACTCTGTCATCTTCTTCAGCACTCTCCACATTTTCCCCTTGATCCCGTATTTGGACAGTTGTTTCCACA